CGACACGTTTAATTGTGATTCACCTCAAACGCACATTGAATGGACTTGTAAAAATGCAATAAAGAATTGAATTTGAAAAAAAAAACAAACCTTTTTTACCAAACGTGCTTTTATTTTGTCCCGCTACTTATGACTCCCCCGTGAATATTGGCTCATATCTCGAAGGAAATCACTTTTTGACAATGAATCACTAGCAACCAAAAATATCCATTTGTATTGTCCCGATAACGCATTGTTCTACGGAAAACTGAAGAACAGCAGATGTTTATCAATGGGCCCAATAGAGTAATTTCGCCTATTGAGTTATATTCTGCACAGGATTAAAAAACCTCACAATGAACTTTTGGTCCAGTTGGGGGATGCTAACCGCGAGTTAGATCGACCAGGGTGAAATTCGCAGACAGCGTAGTTGGCCATCAAGTGCTTCATTTAGAAAAATAGGATTTGCAATCTGATATTCCACCATTTAGATTCATAACCTTTAAATATAAGCCTGTCCAAAAAATGGAGAGGGTTGTTGAAAGTTTAGAGGTCGCGCAAATTGTTTGAAGTTTGTATCGAGATATTGGCAAATTAGTAGGGATCGATCTTTGGTTCAAGTTGTCAGAATGCAATCAAAATGAATATTTGATTGCAATGACAACGATAAACCAGCCTGTTGTTTCTGTAATAAAATTGGTGTTGTTGTCAGGCACATATTCAACATTCAATTGGGTTCTTTAATTTGGAAAAAATAAATATCCATTTTTGCACATCGTCTGAAAGAGCTTCGTTTTCTGAGCACAACTAAATTTTCTTCGAAACCATAGACTTTCATCTCGATTTCTAAATCAAGATTTAAATCAAAATAATGATTTCACTGTTTGACACTAACCGAAAAATCAGACAGCATGCTTCTAAACAAAGTTCCACCGAGGGGCGCTAAGATGGTTGTTTTCGCTAATGTAATCGCACTTATTTGAAACAGTTCCAGCAAAAAAATATGCTATTTTGGATTTCGGTTCATGCAGATTACGAATATGCATTTACCTTTTCTTTCCTTGATTTGTTTTCCGTCGATCTTGTTTTCCGTACTGATTACCAATGCTATCGACGCCATGGAGGCAGTTCCCACACCAGGACCCTACCTATCAACTCATCAACTCATGAACCGGGGTGCAACGGCTTTACTTCCCTTCCGAAGAGAGGCGTGATCAGAGATGCTATGCCTCAGAAAATTTCGGCGGCGCTGACTGGGATTGAACCCAGGCCTTTTGGGATGAGAGGCAATCACGCTTATCACTACACCAACGGCGCCGCTTGTAATATTGTAAAGTCAATGTTATCGCAATGCATATTGTATGTATCCATCATTTGGTTCACGGGTCCAAATTTAGCATTATTCGGACGATGGCCGTTATGCATTTTCTTAAATACCCATAAAGAACCCAATTTACCTTAATGTAACATTTGCTAACAAACTGACAGTAATACCATTTATTTACACCTTATTTTCAAAGGCCGTATATTTCTCTAACTGTGGATTGACAAAACCAGGGTTATTAATCAATAACCGTCGATAAACTGATGAATTTGCATTGCAGACGTGAACGCAGACGTTATGAATCGTTACCGATTAATAACCCTAGACAAAACATTGCAATTCTGGTGAAAAATCTAAATTGCGTGGAACCGAAGATATATTTTAATAAAACCGACGATATATTTGTCTAACCAATATGTGTCGAGGGCAATGGGTGGACACCAGATTTAGCGGTAAGCGAAGCAGATGATTTTGATGATGCTAGTTTATTTGGAAGATACTTTCGAAACAAAGCACTTTAAAATTCAGCTTTACATACCACGTTTAAGAGCATTTCTGTTTTGCTTTGATCATTTTGTGTTACCTAAACTGAAAACAAAAACTCGGTAGAATAAAAAAGAAATCTCTTTTTTGACACAATCTTAAAAATGCATTCAGTTTTTTTTTTAATTCTTTAATTTTGAAAGCCTAAACTGTCTTAAAACATGGTCCACTTAGTAATAGAATAACATCGTTTGGGTTTATTTCGAATTTAAATTAACGGATTTGAAAACGGTTTCAAGGGCATACTATTCCTTATATTTTAAGAAAAAAACGAAACGAATTATTCGTCGCGGTTTCGAAGGAATTCTCGAACTTTTCCCTTAATAAGACCCATCAAGCGGCGTACAACGGCCTCATTCACTGTTTTTGCGATTTTATCCCACCAATTGTTCATCTAAGCCGCCGTTTTGATAACTGTACCTTTAACCTTCAGTTTTCTCTTCATAAATACCTAGTAGCTTTCAATGGTCACCTTTACATAGTTAGGTTTCATCATCCATAAGTATGCACCCATGGGACTTGGTCAGCATGGGTTGCTTCTGATGGACCTCACGCTGACGGTTGGCAGTTCCACGTAGGCGTTAACTTTGAGGCTTCCGATTCTCGTCAAGGTTTCCCTGTACGTTTTGAGCACGCGCCACATGGTGTTCCTAGGAAAATTTATCATTTTAGCCAGCTTGGACAAGGACTTACACTCTTCACAAAATTTAGGACATTACTTCAGCTTGTTTTACAAAAAAATATAAAAATCAATAGAAGAGTGTTTTGAGAATATCAAAATTTTATGTCTAATTACCTTTTCTCAAATGTCATTTTGATCAGATCAATCATTTTCATGTTATGATTTTATGAAAAAAATATAATCCCTATTTGAATTCGGTGTATTCGAAGGCTATTTTTAAAGTTACTCTGGAGAAAAAAAAATCATTTCTAAATGAAAAATTCAACCATTGGTATCAGTTAACATATGAGTAATGTTTTATTCAAATCGGAAACATTATTATTATTTAGCTTTATTTAGGAGGCTTTCAGCCTTAGGCTGGTTCGCCTCCAAGAAAAATCGGAAACACTCATGTCCAACTGGTTTGCATTTTGTCCTGGAAATACTCCCTTTGAATCTGTTTTAAAAATTATGCATTTCTCGCGTCACTTTTCCATAGGTCCTATCTACATTGATCGATTCTCTTCATCGAGTTTCTCTTTGGATGACCACGGACTTAATAAAAACAGTATCGCACCAAACGTAAACTTAGGGTCACTCATTTCATATGAGACTAGTCGGGGGGTCTAGAACAGTTTTTATTTTTTCGTATTTTTCAGTGTAAATTACGTCCAAAAATTTAGTATTTCGACCATTGAGGTCCAAAAACCGTATGTAAAAATAACCACCGATAGAACATTTTGAAACTGGCCTCAAACGAAAGAGGGGCACCTAAGATTTCGTTTGGTGGGTTTTTCAGCGATACTGATTTTTTTATAATAATGATACTACAAGAGAAACCGTGGCCATGCAAACACATATCATGCTATTTTCGCCATATATTTTGATAAAAGATCGCATTAAAGGGTGATACGGTCAAAATTTGGTCAATATCAACTTGACGTATTTCTTTCAATTTTGCGCTTAAAAAACCTGAACACCCCTCATTTTGAAGGTGTGTGTGTGTAGAATGTTGCTCCTATTTTGATTTTGGAATTCACTCTTCAGTTGTCAAAATGCCGTCCAAGCAAGAAGCGCAGCGTATCAAAATTTTGCTCGCGCATCGCGAAAATCCGAGCTACTCGCACGCAAAGTTGGCAAAATCGCTAAAAGTTGCCAAATCAACCGTTACAAATGTAATTAAAGTGTTTGGGGAACGTTTGTCGACAGCCAGGAAGTCTGGATCGGGGGGAAATCGAAAACCGGAAGCCGCTGAGATGACAAAGAGAGTTGCCGGTAGTTTCAAGCGAAACCCTAACCTCTCTCTCCGAGATGCCGCAAATAAGCTGGGTGTATCGTCTACAACCGTGCATCGAGTCAAAAAACGAGCCGGACTATCGACTTACAAGAAGGTAGTGACTCCAAATCGCGATGATAAACAAAATACGACGGCCAAAGCGCGATCCCGGAGGCTGTACACGACGATGCTGACGAAGTTTGACTGCGTGGTAATGGACGACGAAACCTACGTCAAAGCCGACTACAAGCAGCTTCCGGGACAGGAGTTTTATACGGCAAAAGGAAGGGGAAAGGTAGCAGATGTTTTCAAGCACATGAAACTGTCAAAGTTCGCAAAGAAATATCTGGTTTGGCAAGCCTTCTGTACCTGTGGCTTGAAAAGCAGCATTTTCATAGCTTCCGGGACTGTCAACCAAGAAATTTACGTGAAAGAGTGTTTGAATAAACGTCTGCTGTCTTTCCTGAAGAAACACGGTTGTTTCGTACTGTTTTGGCCGGATTTGGCATCTTGCCATTACGGTAAAAAGGCCATGGAGTGGTACGCCGCCAACAACGTGCAGGTGGTTCCCAAGGACAAGAACCCTCTTAACACGCCAGAGCTCCGCCCAATTGAGAAATACTGGGCTATTGTCAAGCGGAACCTAAAGAAGACCAAAAAAACTGCTAAGGGCGAGCAGCAGTTCAAGGCAAACTGGCTTTCTGCGGCGAAGAAGGTGGACAAGGTGGCTGTACAAAATCTGATGGCAGGGGTCAAGCGTAAGGCCCGGCAATTCGGATTTGGAAAAGCGGAAGCCTAACTGAATATTTTTCCTGAATTTTATACTAATTGAACTTGAAAAAGAAATTTAATTTGATTTTTTAAATAAACGATTTCACCGATTTACACGCGTTTTCCCTTGACCAAATTTTGACCGTATCACCCTTTACCTTGCACCCAACACGTCAAACATATCAGATCATGTGTTTGCTGCTAAGATATAAACAAAAGAAACAGTCGATGAAGAGAATCAATCCATGTGGATAGGATCAGTTGAAAAGTGACGCGAGAGTTTTTCGTCATTTTACTGTCATTTGCTTCAAGTTATCCAATTTCCTACGCCCTCACGCCAGTCACGACAAACATCAAAAAGGCACTTCGATAATGCTCCGGGCTGATATTTTGAATCAACGTTCGTTTCTTTTTACTCTCTTTGCACGCTACTCTTGCGCTTCCAGGAAACTCTCCAAGGATGCCGACATAGATCCGGTTGGGTCGCAAAGGTAAGAAAATTTGCTTGATATTTCTCTTTTCTTTCTTGTTTCATTTTATACTAGCACATTCTAGCCAACCGCTTTGTAATCTTGTTGCTTTGCTTAACGCTAACGCTATTAATGCAATCGTATCCAGCCCAAATTAGAAAAAATGATTAAAAGTTGTTATTTTTACATGAGATAGATAAATCGCACTCGAGTTGCTCTTTGAGTCTTATTCTTGGTAAAAGGCTACAATGTTGAGGTGTTTCTCTAAATATTCACGTGGCCTTTGCCTCTCTCGCTTTTCAAAAGAAAAAACTTTTCGAATATAAGGAAAATCGATGGAGGTTTCACTCAGTTTGCATGCTCTTAGACTGAGTTAAATTTTCATGGATTTTATTAAATTCGAGATTTTTCCCCGGAAAATCCAACTCAACCTAATAAGTCTGATCAACCGTGTGCAATGTGGGGAATAGCATATCGGCCTTGCAAATGCCACGTAAACTTTGTGCCAAGGCTCTTTTGGGAAAAAACTGATTTTTGCAATATAATCTCTCTTTTTGTTAGTAGAGACGACAAGACTTTGTTGAAAAATCTGGTTTTGATAAGAATACCTTATAAAGCATAAGTTTACCTTTGTTACGTTTAACCAGGAAAATGTGAAAAGGCGCCAGCGAATAACGTTTTCCATTCAAGGCTATTGCATTAGCTAGCAGTAGCTTTCCAGCCCAGCGATTGTTCTGTGTAATGCAATTTCCTATCTGGGTAAAACTGAATTATGCACCACAAACAACGACGAGCACTCCACTTCCTATCCGAGTTGATGGCTTTCAATGCTTCATTTGCCAGTCCTAAGAGGAGGCAGATCGCCCAGGACCAGGATACATTATGCATGAGCGTTTCATTTCACTTATATGACGACGATGCGCATTGACGTATCTAGAAAATTTATCTGGAGGGGGCCTAGGTGGAGTTCTTTTTATTTTGCTAAACTACATTTAAATAAAAACTCCCGAAGATGCTATTCAATCAAATTGCGTCAAGCCAACTTGTTTTTGGTTAGTTTTTTCTGTGACCAATAATATGACATTGAGGCTTACTATTATTTTAATGGTGAAACAATAAATTTGAATTTATTTATTTCATAACAACGATTGGGACCTCGATTGTGGGAGCTTTAAAAGCGTACTAATTTTGAACAAGCAATGATCGTTTGTTCATGCTTTTTGTAATGAATTTATAGGAAAGTTTGAACATACTGAGAGGTAAGCACATATCATCGGTAAGAGACGTGTGTGTGAGAAAATTTGCGAAAAAATCTAAGGGCACCGGTGGGATTCGAACCCACAATTCCCATTCAGTACACGGGTGCATTGCCAATTATACAACGGTGGACCTATGGTCTACGGATGTATTTGGCTAATGACATTTGAGTTTCGAATCCGTTCCCCACCCTAGCCTTTTTGCGCAAGCGTTCTCTGATACACAACAATCGTCTATTATCGACGATATGTGCTTGTACCGCAACCACTCAGTATCAGTCGATGTGCCCACCGGTGCCCTTAGATTTTTTCGCAAATTTTCTCACACACACGTCTCTTACCGATGATATGTGCTTACCTCTCAGTATGTTCAAACTTTCCTATAAACAATTAAATTGACTGCAAAGTCGCTAAACCGAAAATCAAAAAAGTAAAAGTAATTGATATTCATCAACTACGGCCCGGTGGTCGGAGGTGAGGCCGGCAGCTCAAAATGTTAGAGTCATACTGTACTGGACATATTTCAGCATGTAAGATGAACAACAAAAATGAGCTGTGTTTGTTCACATCGACTGATACTGAGTGGTTGCGGTACAAGCACATATCGTCGATAATAGACGATTGTTGTGTATCAGAGAACGCTTGCGCAAAAAGGCTAGGGTGGGGAACGGATTCGAAACTCAAATGTCATTAGCCAAATACATCCGTAGACCATAGGTCCACCGTTGTATAATTGGCAATGCACCCGTGTACTGAATGGGAATTGTGGGTTCGAATCCCACCGGGGCCCTTAGATTTTTTCGCAAATTTTCTCACACACACGTCTCTTACCGATGATATGTGCTTACCTCTCAGTATGTTCAAACTTTCCTATAAACAATTAAATTGACTGCAAAGTCGCTAAACCGTAAATCAAAAAATTTTGTAATGAAATCACATTGCATCTCAAAAATTTAAGCATCTCAAACTCAAGAAAATTCTCAGTGTTAGGTAATTCAATGAGTTTTGTAGCTGACATTCTTTATTAGATTTTAAATATCATATCATCAGATAAATCTCAGGCATAGGAACCAAAATTAAATTCTAGGATTTTGAAGATAATAATTTTATAACATTCTGGCTTTGAAATGGTAAAGTGCACACAGAATAAATTTCATACGTTAAGAACATTAAGAATCCCAAAAGGCCAGGGTTCAAACCCAGTCGGTGCCACCAGGATTTTCTGGGGCATAAAATCTCTGAACACGCCTTCCTTTGGAAGGGAAGTAAAGCCGTTGGTCCCCGGTTCATGAATTGATGGGTCCAGGTGTGGGAGCGGCCTCCCTGGCGTTGGTAGCATTGGTACTCAGAACGGAAAACAAGATCGACGGAAAACAAATCAAGGGAAACAATGAAATTAGGAAAATGTTCAAGGTTTAATAAAAAAAAGGATAAAAAGGTTTTAATAACAGCGGTGCCGGTGGTGCAGTGGTAAGCGTGATTGCCTCTCAACCCAGCAGGCCTGGATTCAATCCCAGTCTGCGCCGTCGGGATGTTCTGAGGCATAACATCTCTGATCACGCCTTCCTTCGGAAGGGAAGTAAAGCCGTTGGTCCCCGGTTCATGAGTTGATGAGTCGATAGGTAGGGTCCAGGTGTGGGAGCTGCCTTCCTGGCGTCGGTAGCATTGGTGCTCAGCACGGAAAACAAGATCGACGGAAAACAAAACAAACGAAAAAAAAATAAAAAAAAAGGTTTTAATAACATACACACTTAGAAAAAATCATGTAAATTTAGGTACTCTGAGAGTGACATATACGAGCGTCAATATTGACATAAATTTGAGTCATAACAGACGCGAAGTATAGCTCAACGAACTTTTTCAGTCTCGGAACACTTAATATTACATGACATGTTTGTTTACGTCTCATCTTTTATGTCAAACATGGATTCCGTCACGTGTGAAATTAGTTATTTCTAAGCGTGTAGGCTTAGACAAGCTCTTAATCTCCTGGACTTCAAAATTCGTAATTCAATATCTTGGAAAACTTACCTAGATTCTGAGGCTTACAGTATTTTTCGAAAGAAAAATTGACTTTTGAAAAAAAAATATGAAAAATCAGGATATAATTTAATTTCATCAGGTTTTTTAAGATACCAGATGAATGTCATGATTATGATATTTGAAGAGAAAAGAAAGTACTAAAGCATTTATCCAGAACATTTTTTTATTCGATGTATCAGACTAAATAATATTCGGAGTTATATATAAAATCAAGAACTCTCTGCAGCTGAATTCCAGGCATAAATTTCATCGAAAAGAATGAAATTAATACATATTAGGTATACAGTCATTCCATAACAAAACGATTTATAACGATTTGTGGTTTTCAGAGTTTCGTCAAAATTGGTAGTTTTGTTCCTTATCGCATAATATTAGACCGTTTTTATGTTGTCATTAGGGTGACCATTTCCATGTTAGGGTGGTCAAAAAAATCGATGTGTTTTTTTTTCGTTTTTAAGTTATATTTTTTTGAAGTTATAAAGTTGTAGGTTTCGCTATAGAGGATCTACAAACATGTCCAAAAAATCTAGATTCATTCTAAAAAAACTCCCTTAGGTTTTACGAAATTTCCCAGACTTCTACAAAATTCCTTACATCCCTCGTAATTCTACACTTCTGGAAAGACACCTATCATCTACAAATATTCTTGAATATCTGGAAACTTCCTTGAAATTAGACGAAGTTCCCAAAACTTCCAAGAAGTTCATGGAGCTTTTTGAAGTTCCCTAAACTGAAGCGAGGATCTCTGAAGTTGTATGAAGTTTATTGAACTATTTTTAGATCTTTAGATCTAGAAATTCCCTGAACTTTTTCAAAATTCCTTACTTCTGGGAACTTCCAGAAAAAGTCTAGAAATTCCCTGAACTTTTTCAAAATTCCTTACACTTATATTTAATTTTCATATTCTCAAAATGCTACGAAATTCGCAAAACTTCTACAAAGTTTGCTGCACTTCTACGTTTCTCGGTGATTTTTCGCGTAGTTCCACGAACGAAATTTTCTTGAATTTGATTCCCGATCAATAATGAGCTTCTCTAAAATAAAATAATGTTCCCTTAACTTCTACGAAGCTCCTCAAACCTACTTCTACGCAATTTTCAGAGCTTTTCCAAGTTTTTACGATTTTCGCTAAAGTTCTATGAAGTTCCTAGAATTTCTACTAAGTTTCCTCACTTTCTACGATGTTCCTTGAACTATTTAGAAGCCCTTGAAGTTTTACGAAGCTCCCAGAAGTTGACAAAAAATCCCTGGGCTCATGACCAATTTGTAGAGCACGAAAACGTCTTATGACATACATCGATTAAATATTGATATAATATGATTTCTCAAAATTGTTTCTTCTAGTCCCCAACATAAGAAAAGTAGTCAACTTAAAGAACTTTTAAAAAATCATTATTTGTGGTACAATTTTATTAATCACTGTTAAATAATAACATCGAACTTGACAAGCTTGACAAAATACCGGCGAGTCAAAAATAAAACACTGAAAACTCTGAGGGGGTCCTGACCCCCTTGGCACCCCCATTAGCTACCCCAACGACGATGCGGCGATTCACGGTACATAAATCCGGTATCGAAGGAAGCGTATGCTGTGCACTTCTTGAACGCTGCTGGTGTTTATGTCTGTTCTACATAGTGTCACAGAATACATATACATACCTAAAGCAGAACCAAGCTGCTCACTCTTTTGATGAGGTGGAAACGTATTGCAGTCTTGCATTC